GCATGCAAGGCAAGCGCTCTACCACTGAGCCACCTTCCCAGCCCCCCTTATTCCATTCTTACACTTCAAATTTTTAAAAATTTTCCCATTCTATTCCGGGTTTTGTGGGGGGGGGGGTTGTGTGTGTGTGTGTGTGTGTGTCTTCTTGGACTGGGAATGTAGTTCAGTAGTAGAATGTGTGTTTCACAGGCAAATTCCTTAAGTCTAATACCCTCTGAAATACAGATACAAATCTAAGTAATGTCATCTTGGCACCTTAATAGAAGCTGGGACTTTCCAAGAACTCTAGAGGTAACAGAGGACATTCTTTGGACTGCAGATGTGTGGTGAATGGTTAAGCTCCAGGAAAGTCTAGCTTCCCCTGATAACTGAGTTCTGATTTCCCCTGGGTAGTATGCTCTGCCTATGTTTTACACTTTTGTTAAAGCTCGTACCCTACCTCAGGCATGTAGTTGTTGTGTTTAAAAGTGTTGTGCATACTCTGTAGTGGGATGCAGAGGTTTTTTTGTTTTTTTTTTGCCAGTCGTGGGGCCTGAACTCTGGGCCTGGGCACTGTCCCTCAGCTCTTCAGCTCAAGGCTAGTGCTCTACCACTTGAGCCACAGCACCACTTCCAACTTTTTCTGCTTATGTGGTGCTGAGGAATCGAACCTAGGGCCTCATGCATGCAAGGCAAGCATTCTACCAGAGCCACCTTCCCAGCCTGGATGCAGAGTTTTTAGACAGGAGGTCACTTGCTGTTACTGGCTCTCCAAATAAAGACTCCCAATTCGACCTCTCAAATATGGGTCCTCTGTTTCTCACTGACTGAATTCTCATATAATCCAACACCATAAAAATAAATCAAATAATACTTCTTCATTCTCTCTCTGTCTCTAGATCATAAGTACCCAGGGCAGGAATAGGTCAGTGTAGTTTACAGGGTTGGTGAGACAGATATTCCAAATATCTATTACAACCCATTGAGTCTTTAAAGATCCTTGCTTGTGCTCTCTTTGCAGTATCTCCAATCTCTCTTCATAGGCTCCTTGTTTTCACACATTTATCAACCTTCCTATTTAGGACACAACTCACTTGATCCTGCTGCCCTTTTAAATGTCCTAATTCTTTTGAATAAGTGGCTGAGTTGTCTTGCTGGGTACCATTCCTTTCCAGCTTGCTATCAGTTCCATCAACCACAGAGACAAATTAACCAGTTACAGAGGCCTCTTTTTAAACCAAACACTGCTATCCTTTCCCAGCATTCCTTGATTTCAATGTCCCATTTTGGGAACTACTGTTAATTAATGACTTTTCTTAATTTTTTTTTTTTTTTGTCAGCCATGGGGCTTGAACTCTAGGCCTGGGCACTGTTCCTCAGCTCTTCAGCTCAAGGCAAGCATTCTACCACTTGAGCCACAGTGTCACTTCCAGTTTTTCTGGTTATTTATTGCAAAGACTTTCCTTCCCAGGCTTTGAACTGCAATCCTCAGATCTCAGCATCCTGAGTAGCTAGGATTACAGGTGTGAACCACTGGTGCCTGGCATTGAGAATTTTGTCGGTCATGGAGCGTGAACTCTGGGCCTGGGTACTGTCCCTCAGCTCTTCAGCTCAAAGCTAGCACTCTACCACTTGAGCCACAGCACCACTTCCAACTTTTTCTGTTTATGTGGTACTAAGGAATCAAACTCAGGGCTTCATGCATGCTAGGCAAGCACTCTACCACTACACCACATTCCATTCCCAGCCTCACTTGGCTTTTTTTCTGCTCAAGGCAGATAGGTATCTATTTTTTTTTTTTTTTGGTCGGTCGTGGGGCCTGAACTCTGGGCCTGGGTGCTGTCCCTCAGCTCTTCAGCTCAGGGCTAGCGCTCTACCACTTGAGCTACAGCACCACTTCTGGCTTTTTCTGCTTATGTGGTGCTAAGGAATTGAACCCTGGGCCTCATGCATGCAAGACAAGAACTCTACCACTGAGCCACCTTCCCAGCCTTGGCAGGTAGGTATTCTATCACTTGAACAACACTTGTGCTTTTTACTGGCTACTGAGGAGTCTCTTGGATTTATTTTCCCAGGCTGTCTTCAAACTGAAATCCTCAGATCTCAGCCTCTTGAGTAGCTAGGACTATAGGCATGAGCCATTGACACACAGCCACTAATTTTTTTATTTTCTTGTTTTCAAGCCCCAATACTGGGGCTTGAACTCAAGACCTGGGTGCTGTCCTTCATTTTTTTATTCAAAGCTGGCACTCTTACCATTTGAGTCATAGTTCCATTTCTGGCTTTTTGGTGGTTAATTAGAGATAGGAGTCTCAAGGACTTTCTTGTCCAGACTGACTTTGAACTGCAATCCCCAGATCTCAGCCTCTTGAGTAGTTAGGAGTTTAGGCATGGCCACTGATGTCCAAATTTTTGTTCAAATACTAAGAAATAACTTCAGCCAGGCACCAGTGGCTCACATCTGTAATCCTAACTACTCAAGAGAATGAGATCTGAGGAACAAGGTTCAAAGTCAGGGAGGGCAGGAAAGTCTGTGAGACTTTTTTTTTTTTGCGGGGGGGGGGTCTGGTCATGGGGCCTGAACTCTGGGCCTGGATGCTGTCCCTCAGCACTTCAGCTCAAGGCTAGCACTCTACCACTTGAGCCACAACGCCACTTCCGGCTTTTTTCTTTTTGCTTATGTGGTGCTGAGGAATCAAACCCAGGGCCTCAGACATGCAAGGCAAGCGCTCTACTACTGAGCCACCTTCCTAGCCCCATCTGTGAGACTCTTATCTCAAATTAACCACCAGAAAACTGTATGTACCTAAGTGGTAGAGCACTAGCCTTGAGCTGAAGAGCTGAGGGACAGTGTGCAGGCCCAGAGTTCAAGCCCCAGGATTGATTAAAAAAAAAAAAACACTGAACTTTTCTTCTATAAAAGAGTTTCTTTATTCTCTTTTGCTTTTTGTTATACTGGAAAGAAATCTTAGGCATATTTACTCTTCAATTAATTACCCCCATTAACTTCTATCAAAAGAAATTTATTTTTGTCAGTCCTGGGGCTTGAACTCAGGGCTTGGGCGCTATGCTGAGTTTCGTTTTGCTCAAGAGTAGCACTCTACCACTTGAGCCACAGCACCACTTCCAGCTTTTTCTGTTTATGTGGAGGACTCGAACCCAGGGCTTCATGCATGTTAGGCAAGCACTCTACCACTGAGCCACACTCCTCGCCCTACAAAAAAAAAAGTCTTCTTTTTTGGTCAGTCGTGGGGCTTGAACTCTGGGCTTGGGTGCTATCCCTGCATTCTTCAGCTCAATTGGCAAGCGCTCTACCGCTTGAGCCACAGTGCCACTTCCAGTTTTCTACTGGTTTTATTGGAGGTAAGAGTCTCAAGTACTGGGCTGGGAAGGTGGCTCAGTGGTAGAGCGCTTGCCTTGCATGCTCAAGGCCCTGGGTTCGATTCCTCAGCACCACATAAGCAAAAAGAAAAAAAAAGCCGGAAGTGGAGCTGTGGCTCAAGTGGTAGAGCGCTAGCCTTGAGCTGAAGAGCTGAGGGACGGCGCCCAGGCCCAGAGTTCAGGCCCCACGACCGGACCCAAAAAAAAAAGAGTCTCAAGTACTTTCCTCCCAGGGCTGGCTTTGAACGGCAATCCTCAGATCTCAGCCTCCTGAGTAGCTAGGATTACAGGCGTGAGCCACCGGAGCCCAGCTTCCAAAAAGTCTTTAAGACATATTTCAAGTTCCAACTGTAAAAAGAATCAAGGATCCTTATTTTGTTCTTGGAAAACTTTATTTCAGTTTAAACAACAGAACAAATGATATCTATGCTATCCAGGAACAGATGAAAATATGGTCATCCTTCATAGCTGTATAGCTGGCAAATTCCAAATGAGAGATATAATCTAGGCAAAAGACATTTATTATTCCAGATTATATTTATCTCTCCATCTGAGACCATGAAAACCAGTCAAAAAGACTGGAAACAAATTTATATGAAGTCATACCAGAAAAGCTGAGAAAATGACGTGTAATGTTCTGGGAAATTCTGTTTCTACTTAATATTCAGATGAATATGTTCTTAAAGGTCAGAAACAGGTGGTTCATACCTTAAGTGCTAGAAACAATGACAGACACTTTTAGCAGTTTAATGTGATTATTAAGATTTGAAACATTATTTAAAAAATCTAGATGTAGGCTCAGTCAAGGCCAAAAAATGAAAATCTTACATTTCTTTAGTGGAAACATAGAAACATGACTACTTAGATTTTTATCTTAATTTACAGTTAAAAGGTCTATTTTTAATAGACACAGTCACATTGTTTCACACCTGAAAAAGACTCCACATAGAATATCCCCATTAACAACACTGAATGAGAAATCTAATTCAGTCTACAGGTTTTATTTCTGATCAAGTAATAAGCTTTCAGGTATTTTTCTTTTTTCTGTTCTTTCTTTTTGCAACAGTCTCAAACTGGCCTCACACTCATGATCTTCCTGCTTCAACCTTCTGAAAGCTGGGATATAGACATGTATCACCATCCCTAGCTCTGGTCTCAGTGACTTCTTTGCTTACCTTCTATTAACAACATATTAACTTGCCGTATAACTACAACATTGATTTTCAAGTCCTTCTTTAGTCATATTTTCCCCTTTAACTAAGAAATACCTAGACATTTTAAAGAAATGTAAAACAGTTGTAATGGCCTTCAATAATTTTATTTTACTAAAATAGCTGATCTTATTCCAGTGAGAACGATTGCCAAATTTATCCAAGTCTTTGATTTCAGAATCACTTATCACAGTAGAATACTGCATCATATAGAGACATCTTGATCAATAATCTTTTACTAACATAACTGTTATCTTTCTAACTGATTTATAAAGTATGCCATACTGTTTAAAATAAATAGACAACGTACAATTTCTACGTTCTCCTTCAGACTTAAAAATGAGGTAATAAAAACTTAACTGATTAAACCTTTTACCATTCTGGAAGTATCTTTAAGAAGTGATGGTGACATATTTTTCTTAGGTCTTTTCAAGATACTTCTGAGTATCTGTTCCTAGGCTGAAAAGTTATTTAAAAAATCCTTAAGCTTTGTTGGATAGTCTGTCATCACTCCAGTAGCTCCCAAATCAAAAGCTCGTTTGTACTCTTGTTCATCATTTAATACCCAAACATACACCTGAAAATTGGGGTCATGAGAAATATGAAAAGATATGTTAAATAGAAATAAATTTTATAGCATTTATCTACTATAATCTCATCATACTTAGAACTAATGATCAAAGTTTCCATTTTAAGAAATCACTAAACTTTTTAATATTTTTTTATCCAACTCTTTGAAAAACTCTATTTTTTATTAGATATACATTGTTCTATTCTTCTGCCTATGGCACTGGACCCAGTAGTAAGAGGAAGTGTAGAATGCTAATGATGCACTGCTATGAGTAAGACAGAGCTTAAGGTCCTCATTTGTGTCAGTAATGCAGCAGTATCAGTTTAAAGCTTCTGCACTTTGACTTGTGTTAACTGGTAAGCTATCCTGTTTCTAAAACTCAGCATTCCAGAAACTTACTTGAATGCCTCTCGCAGTGAGGTGGTCAAATAAAGATTTCCTCATTAATAAGCTAGAAAAAAAAGCAGAACAGATTCAAGTATTTATTTGTCCCAATTAAGGATTAAAATTAGTCTTCAACTACATTAGAGTTTAGTGATTCCTAGTTATATTCACTCCCAGTACTTCAGTAATATAAGCAAAGACCACAAATAGGGGCTGGGAAGGTGGCTCAGTGGTAAAGTGCTTGCCTTGCATGAATGAGCTCCTGGGTTTGATTCCTCAGCACCACATAAGCAGAAAAAGCTGGAAGTGGCACTGTGGCTCAAGTGGTAGAGTGCTAGCGCCAAGGCCTAGAGAGTTCAGGCCCTATGACCAACCAAAAAAAAAAAAAAAGACCACAAATAATGACTGCTGTGGATGATTTTGTACCTTTGTTTGTATTACTTGGGTTTGACCTCATGCTGGCTAGGTAAGCACTCCACAATCTGGACCCCTACCCTTTTTGCTTCAGTTGTTTTTCAAATAGGGTCTTGTACTTTTTTGCCCAGGCTGGCTTGGACCAAGATCTTTTTTTTTTTTTTTTGAAGGTCATGGGGCTTGACCCCTGGGCCTGGGGGCTGTCCCTTATCTCTTCAGCTACAGGCTAGCACTCTACTACTTGAGCCACAGTGCCACTTCTGGTTTTCTGGTGGTTTATTAGAGGTAAGAGTCTCTCAGACTTTCCTGCCTGGGCTGGCTTTGAACCACAATCCTCAGATCTCAGCCTCCTGAGTAGCTAGGATTACAGGCCTGAGCCACTGGCTCCCGGCTTGGACTAAGATCTTTTATCTGTACCTCTTTGTGGCTGAAATTATAGGTATGTACCACTATGCCCAGTTGTTTGTTGAGACATGGTCTTCCTAACATTTTTTCCTAGACTGGCCTCAATGTCAGTCTTCCTATCTCCACCTTCCCAAGAACCTGGAATTACTGGTGTGAACCACTATGTAGCTGGAATTTATATCCTACCTCTTCAATCTACTTTAATGACTGGCTGTTGGACAACCAGAACCTCCTCTCCTCATATTGCTCCAAGAGCCTCAGGAGACCTATTCTCAAAACAATTAGATGAAGAAGTGGCTCCTCACTTTCCCTGCTGGAGCTATAATATGAGGAATAGCCAGAAAGTATGAGCTACTACCTTTCCACATTCAGTAAGACAGGAAATTCAGATCAAGTTCAAGAACATCATAGTGGGGCTGGGAATGTAGCTTTGTGGTAGAGTGATTGCCTCACATGCATGAAGCCCTGGGTTCGATTCCTTAGTAACACATAAACAGAAAAAGCCAGGAAGTGGCACCGTGGCTTAAGTGGTAGAGTGCTAGCCTTGAGCAAAAGTAGCTCAGGGACAGTACCCAGGCCTTGAGTTCAAGCCTCAGGACCAGCCAAAATAAAAAAAGAACATTGCATACTGGATTAGTCTTAGCTATGTTAGGAACTATATTCTCAATTATTTCAATAGTCCATATCAATATCTTTTTCGATTTCAAATAACTATCTTCTAAGTGTGCTTTTAATGACAAATCACAAGTAAAATGGGAGCAAATTATATTGGAAAGTTATATACATTATTTGAATTCACTTATGTCTATTAGAACATTACTAGAAATTATACATTTTCACTACCAATTAAAAATGCTAGGTCCTAGCTGGGTGCTAGTGGCTCACACCTATAATCTTAGCTATTCAGGAGGCTGAGATCTAAGGATCCCAATTCAAAGCCAGCCCAGGCAAGAAAGTTTCTGCAACTGTTATCTCCAATTAGCTACTAAAAAGCCAGAAGTGGAGCTGTGGCTTAAGGGGCAGAACTCCAGCGTTGAGCTAAAGAATAGAGCCTAAGCCCTGAGTTCAAGCCTCAGTACTGGCACGTGTGCACTGGCATGTGCGCACATGCATGCACACACGTGCGTGCACACACACACAGAAATGTGTTAGTGGGGAACATATACTTTTACATATGTTGTACTGCCATACATACTTCTCATACTGATTTTGACCTTGGGCTTAGTGGAAGCAGCAAATAGGTAAGAGGGAATGGTTATTTATTGTAATTTTGATACTAAGTTGCTACATAATCCCAAGTAAGCCCTTTAAGTGGGTGAATGGGTGCTCAGTTTTCTCATGAAGCTGGATAAGGTTATATGTTGAAATTCCTCTATGGTTTTGTGACTAGTAATTACGCTCATCTAAAATGATTCACACATATTTGCTTACATAGTAGGTGCCCAACAAGTCCTTCTTACAAGTGACATGTGGAAAGCTTGCACGAAAGTAAAATGTAGCACTTAAAACAGCTACAGCATAAACTTGTATTTTAAGAAATTTAAAATGCTTACACATCGGAAAGCCAGATGACAAACTTTTGACTTCTGGACATGGTGTGTGGTTCTTTTAGCCTAAGGTAAGATAAAAGTTTGAATTACAAATTAGAAACACAGAATGTATGGTAAGACAAGTTCAAAATGCAAACAGTACCTGATTATAGGATGTTCTCTAAAGCCTCTTGCAAAGGGATGAAAATCATATAAACTTAATTATCTCTACCCACCTGAAGCTAACTCTTTTTTTTTTTTGGGGGGGGG